AACCCCTAAACCCCCATAAACCCCAAACTCTAGCCCTAAACCCCTAAACCCTTTTAACCCCAAAGCCTACACCCCTAAACCCCTATAACCCCAAACCCTAAACCCCCAACCCTTCATGGTAAAGTTATAGATCCCTTATCACAGATCCTTCAAAGAGCACTAGACCCCTAAAACTTATCACCCCGCACCCTAATTCCGAAACCCCTTAATCGTACCCTTTCCTCATCCCTTATAGGAGCGGTTATATAGTTCCTTTAAATTTAAAGGAGCACTAAACCCTATAACCCCACACAGTAAACCCTTAAACCCCTAACTCCTCCGTTTATATAGTACCCTTATAGATCCCTTGTATAGGAACCCTTGTGGTTCCTTCAAAAAAGTGACCCAGGCCTCCTCCAGCTGGCCTGCTGCACCCCTTACGCCGACGAGGCAAAGGGAGCCTTTGGGAGCTGGGGCCGGGGCAAAAGGGGGATCACAGAACGGTTTTGGGGTTCAGGGTTTAGGGTTCTAGGGGTTTAGGGGTTTAGGGGTTTGGGGTTTGGGGTTTAGGGTTTAGAGGTTTAGGGGTTTGGGGTTTAGGAGATTAGGGTTTAGGGGTTTAGGGGTTTAGGGGTTCAGGGTTTAGGGTTTAGGGTTTAGGGTTTCGGCTTTAGGCACCCACCCCACCAAACACGGCGTACTTGAAGGCCATAATCCTTTCCGGCAAGATGAGAAGAAGTCATTACACCTGGTCCCTACGAGCGAGGGCCGAGGGAGCTCTGTCTTTACCGAAATGGATGCCAAAAGTTAGCCCGATTCCCAGGCGAAGCACCCTGACAAGTATGTGGGCCTGACCATCCGCTCCACGTACACCGACTTCCAGGCCCTCCTTGTGGCTTTGGGGCTTAAAAGTCCATAAACACATATACCCTACACCCCTAAACCCCTAAACCCTAAACCCTAAACCCCTAAACCCCTAAACCCCTAAACCCCTAAACCCCTAAACCCCTAAACCCTGAACCCCTTTTGTCTCGCGTTTAGTGTTGGGGCCTCCGGGCCCTTGGCGAAGAAGGCGGAGGGCCAGGCAGCCAGCAGGCCAGTTTCAAAAGGGTTTACCTGTAGGCTCCTAAGTAGTTCCTTTTTGTGGTTTGTATTTAGACTCCTATAAGGCAGTACCCAAAAGGAACTACTTAGGAGCCTATCTATTGGTAGGGCCAAGTTTAGGCTTCAGGGCCGGTTTAGGGTGTAGGATAAGTTTTGAGTGGTGTTAGCGAGCCTTTGACCCCACGTAAGTCCCAAAGGCCTGAATCCTCATCTCTCGACCGTTAACCCAAGAATCATTTGCTTTTTTGTAAGCCCAGAGGCCCTAAATCCGAAACTCCGAAGCTCAGGACTTCGCATAGAGGGTCTTGTTCCGAGCACGGCAATGAGTCAAGTCCTCTCTGGGGTCTGTTGCTGTTGCTTTTTCCGTTGCTGTTGCTGTTGTTGCTGTTGTTGCTGTTGTTGCTGTTGTTGCTGTTGCTGTTGCTGTGTCCGTAGTCTACTCTCTCCTTCTTCGTCTTGTCATGCTGTCTTGCATTAGGTTTCACTGTCTGAAACGTCCTAGCTTAGAGAGTGCCAGCGCGGCAAATGCCCGCCACGTGCAGAGTACGCTCGCACCGCGTCCAATTGAATTGCTGTTGCTGTTGCTGTTGCTGTTGCTGTTGCTGTTGCTGTTGTTGTTGTCGTGGGAGGACTGACTTCTCACGAACAAAAGCCGTTGTGCGAGTCAAGGGTGAAGGCCTTGGCAAAGGTGCCGAAGATTTTCAGGGCAATCCAGAAGCAGCATGTTGGGCCGAGTGGATGTACACCGTGACCACCGCAGAGGCGATGAGATCAAAGCACTTCCAGTCATTGGCAAAGTATCTGGCCATGACAGCATGCCACCACATACGAGCGAAGAGGGAGCCGACGAGGCCGTGAATCTTGGCGGGAGTTTCGAGCTCCACGTATTCATTCGTAGCCATATCCTGTCGCGATGGTGACCTTGACGTCCTTGGTCAAGACTCGTCGGACCGAGAGGGCCCGCTCCCAGTTGAGACCAGAGCTAGTCTGGAGTCTGGACGACTATAAACTCGTATGATCCGATGCAAAGCCCCGGACCTGAGGGTACGAATCACACATGATGCGGAGGCCCCTCCTGAGACGGGAATTTCTGATCGGCACAAGCGCTCCAAAGGCATGTCTTCGTTTGTCTCAGGCACAGGACGCAGCTCTTGGAGCAGGGACAGGTCGTGGACATCCTGGGACTGGGACGAAGATTGGGAATACTACGATGACGGCTCCCAAAGAAACCGCGGGACCTCCGGGGCCTGGTGGAGTCAACCTTCCCAGTCATCCAGACGCCGTTGAATTTCACATTACTCAGTCACGGCACAGCCTCCAATACTAGGGCACAGCCCACACACTTGTGCTGCAAAGCCGAGCGAGGCCAAAGCTTTTGCTTGTTTTTTGCGTGTTCGAGCCGGTAAAGTACTGAGCAGCCTGGCGCTAACTGCGAGAGCGCAATGCTTTCAGGTTATCTATGCTTTTTAGGCTTAGGGCCTGTACTCACAGCTCTGGGTACGACCCATCAGGCGCTGGTTCGCGAGCATCGGACGCGTTGGCTCACACAGAGGGTGTCGGAGGTTGTCTACATTCCAGCTTTAGCTTCAGTTTCAATGTTCTGCATTTTCTGGGCTTTGCGAGGCCTACCGAAGTCAATTTTGGAGTGCAGAATCAGCCACAACAGTTTCACCGAGTGTCAGTTCTGGCAATACGCCCGCTATGCGCAGAGCACGCTCGCGCTGCGTTCAAAAGAAAATTGCTATCGTCGTTGGTGTCGGTGTCGGTGTCGTTGTCGTTGTTCTTGTTGTTGGTGGTGGTGGTCACCACCACCACCACCACCACTACGCCACCAACTGTTATCACTACCAGCAACGGCATCATGATGATTACCATTTCGAGGATTATAGTTATGGTGACTAGGACTGCAACTAGTACCAATGACTACTGTACTAGTGTGTTTATTTTGTTTGCTTTTGCCGTTAGTGCCACGACTCACACTGTTGCTTCGCTTTTTCCGGCTGCTGTTATTCTTGTCGTTGGTCTGCCTTTCTCCACTTTTCTAATCAAGAACGTTTTGTCGTAGCTCCTTGGCGCTCCAACTAACTTCTGTTTCGTTGTTTACCATTCGCCTTGCAATGTTTCCAGCACGAGGCCTACTTCCATAACGCCGGCATGCACGACTGCCCCCGGCCATGCTTTCCCCAAGCCGGGCACCCGGACTTCTTGAGATTCGGCCTTGGGGCTTAGTGGTGCCAGGAGAGCTTTTGCAGGGTCGTATAAGTATAGGGATCCCCGTCCTCCACCATTTCTATAAGTCTGTAGGATTTCCAGAAGAATTCGAAAACGTTGTCTTCGAAGGCGACTGTGTTCCAAAGCACTGTCTAAAGGATCTAAGGCATGTTTATCAAGCCCTGAACTGTCGGGTTTGTCGACATTCTGTGTGCGCGCTGTTCCAAATCAAGTTTGCTCTTGAAACCCGGATTTCAACTTGGATAAACCCTGAACCCTGAACTCAAGACCCCCTTCTTGTAGCAGGCTTGTAGCAGGGCCTGAGCTTGCGCACCCTTCCAACACCATCGCGCAAACCAAGGGCCTTGTGAACCCCATCGAAAGTCACGCAAGCCCTCAAACCTAATAAGCCGAATCGTCCCAGCCACGCGAGCGGAGACAAAACCCCAGAAGAAGCAAGTCCTGAACCCTAAACGCTAACCGCTAGAGCACCTCAGACCCTTACTAAATAACGCCAGCACAAGAATAAACCGTAAACCCTAAACCCTCGCCATCTGTCGCCAGGAGGAGGAGTGTGTGAAGTTCAGCTCCGCATACCCAGGCCATCCATGGTTCACCTGGCTGCAGGGGTTTAGGGTTGGGCTTAGGGTTTAGGGTTTAGGGTTGGGGTTTAGGGTTGGGTTCAGGGTTTAGGGTTTTGGGCTGTGTGGGGGGGTTTAGGGCTCCGGGTCTTAGGCTTTTCTTACATATAAGTGTGAGGGTGTAAGGTTTCATGTTTCAGAGTTCAGGTGTTTTCCAGGGTTGGGGTGTTCGGGGTTTAGGGCTTTGCTTGGGCACACGTTCTGGGGACGCGGCAAGCCCGCTGCAAAAGGGCTTTGCGTTTACCTTGCAAATTTTTAAGGCTTTGAATTAGAAGTAGTATGTTTAGGGTCGAGTTCTTATTGGTTTTTCGGTTTCTGGGTTCTAAAGGATAGGGTTGAGAAGGGGTTTAGGAATCTGCTCTTAGTGTTTATGGGGCTTAGGGGTTTTCACGGGCTAGGTTTCAAGTTATTTCAGCCCTTTTAGCAGGCTTCTAACCCTAAACCCTAAACCCTTATGGTTGAGAGCAACCTTCGTCTCAGGAAAGTTCTACAGCACCCGAGAATGCCCCGAAGAAGTTCCCAGAGTTTTCCAAAACCCCTTAATGAAGGAATATACTTTAAATTATAGTAGGAACGCTAATAAGATTTAAGGTATACTCCTTAATTAAAGGGCACTTTAAATTTGTATAGGAGCCCTAATAGGACTTAAGGTATTCTCCTTTATTCCAGGGCTTTGGAGTCTCTGGGCGGACTGAGTTCTATGCGATTCATGTAGGGGCCTTACTTATACTATTTTGGGAGTTCCTTATTATAAATATAGTATAATATAAACCCAAAAACCCTATTCTAATTATTGAGGCCCCCTTCCTTATTATAAATATAGTATAATATAACCCCCAAAACCCTGTTCTAATTATTGAGGCCCCCATATTAGGAGCTCCTTTTGGGCCTCCCAGCAGGCATGGCCAAAGTTGCCTGGGCCCGCGATGTGGGCATGGTGCTGGCCCTATGTTCGGGTTATTCGAATCTTCATGCGGATGGGACGGTTATGCCTAAAATCCCGAGAATATTTGATGTCATCCTGCTTGGGCGATGTAGGGTGGGTTCGTAATCAGACAGTCCTCCCTGGTTCTGCAGAGTGTTGTGGCTTCAGTGGCCTGGAACCAAGTTTGCGTGCAGCCTGAATTGTGTGACCTTCCATGGAGGCCCAGAGGGTACAGCTCAGGGGTGTTGAACAGCCTTCCATATCCTCCAGTTGTAAAGCATCTTTACCCCATGAACCAGAAGCATGGAAGCAGCACTTCCTCAGCAGAATCGGTATTTCCAGTTTTTGTCGTGCTTTTAGGCATCATGACCGAACGGCTGCGTCGCCATGCTGCGAAGTTCCACTCAAAGAGGGAGCGGCAGCATGTGGTGCGGAAGTATTTCACAGCCCTGCGCAGCTTTGACAAAGCTGCTGCGCAGCAGCATGCGGCCCACGTGGCTGGTTGGCTAGCCTATGGCCCAGAAGACTATTCTCCGAATGAGGCCGAACTTCGGCTGCTGAGCAAGTTTCTGGACAGGCACGGAACCGGCGTCCTTCCTGCGCGCTTGCAGCAGGTGCTGCCAGATGTGCTGAGAGTGTTGCAGTCGCCTGGAGTCCCGCGAGCCGACGATACATGGGCGCAGGCTGCGGATGCTCTGAGGAGGAAGCTCAAGAAGTTCCGGTGCTGCCGGCAGGGACCGGAGGATGGCAAAAGACCTGAGAAATCCACAGCTCAGCCTATGGACGAAGATGTTTCTGAAGGGGACCAGCAGCCTGTCCCCAGAGGCACACAGCCCACTGAGACACCCCTGCATCCGGCCCCGTGTGGCTTGCAGCGGCTTTTCCGGAAGAAGGCTGAGTGGACGAACATGTAGACCACGGAGCGTGCGGAGTGCTTGCTCCGTGCAGAGGCTGTGGTCTTTTCCGAGGAGGTCGTTCAGGGAAGGCTGTCCGAGGTCTTGCACCAGGTGGCCGCTGCCTTGGCCCCGCCTCGCAAGGCCGCGTGGCAACTTGTCAAGACAACAAGACAGAGCAGGATCTGCAAGAGACAGGCCTTGATATCTCTTGTGGTGGGCTGCAACGCCGTGCTCGGAAATTGCTGCTGAAGGTCTTGCGAGCTTGGCGCACAAACCACTTTGATTGCGGTTCCATCCGTCACCTCTTGGAGCATGTGAAGCGGCAGATCGGATGCTTCGAGGAGAAGGCAAGCCAGCTCTGCTTCGCGGCAGCTGCCACCACCTGGCTAGCCATCCAAAGAGAAGTCGAGCTTTTGCTCGAAAGTGTCGATGAGTTCGACGGGCTGCCAGTGCGTCGAAGGCAGCCGAGGCGCACCGAGTCCAATTGGGTCGGCAACGGTGTAAAGAAGACGGCCATGCTGACAGCAATGCAGGAACTCGGTGGAAGGGCAACATACAAGCAGTTGTTGGAACATGTGCGGGGGAACCCGCATGTCTTCGGAAATGCAGATCAGAGCACCATCGAGCGGAGCTTGAGAAGCTTTCGTGCACCGGCATACTTCGAAGTGCGAGGCAAGGAGAACGGAGACGAAATTTTCGGCCTGGCCGAGCCTTGCCCCAAGGGCGTCCGACGACAGACACGAGGCTTCACAGCGCGGATGAACGTGGGTGTCTCATGCTGCGTAGGTCCTTTAAGGTCGAGTGCCGAGCAGGCAAGTAGGGACTACCACCAGTTGCAGGAGTGGCGATCTGACATGTCGTCCGAAGCTCTTTTCCAGCGCATTCGCAACTGGCAAGGTGCGTATGTTGTCAGCTCAAAGCACAGGCATCAAGTTGGTGTCACTGAGAAGGAAAAGGTCGGACCGGCAAGCGAACGACAAGCATTGAGCTCTTGCTTTTGTTCCTTGTTTGTTGTAGTTTCTCTTGTTGTGCATCCGTGGCCGTGGCCGTTGTTGTGGTCGTAATGCTGGTGGTCGTTTCGGTTTCGTCGCCGTGTAGGGTTTGGGTCTAGGTTTAGGATTTAGTCTTTGTCGTTGTCGTCGTGGTCTGTTTTGCTGCTGCTGCTGCTTTCGTTGTCGTCGGTTGTGCAAGCATCAAAAAGCCAGCTACCAGAGTTTTGCGCCCCGTACGCCCCCCACGCCTCGACGGTGTCGCTGCAGCCGATTGGCGTTACGAGGTCGCTTCAGCCAGGTCTTGAGTCGTGACAAGGAAACGCAGATAATATAATGGGATTTTGGGCTTAGGGGGGCTTAATATTTTCCGCACGCTGTTGACACCAATCTTTCAAGAAGCGTACAGTTTACCCCCCCAAACCATATCCCAAGTACTGATGCCCTGCATTAGTCCTTTTCTTTATCAACAATGCTACTGCCTTCACGACATGGCATGTGCAGGACATCACAGGTTGGCAATAATGGATACGCAGAATCGATACGTACCGATCACGGGGCTCCACGCCATGTTCTTGCCGGAGCAGGATTTCGATTTTCAGGAAGCAGATCATGGCATGGCCAGGTTCGTATCGGGCTTTAGGGCGTTTGGGCCAAGATGAGCCCTACAATCGTTACTCGTACGTGTTGCTACACCCGATTTCGGTGAAAACGAAGTGCAGACAGCTTGAGCTCTCTACTGCAAGAAGCATGGCTGGCGAGAGCTTCAGTAATCCCTTGTGAGAAAACCAGGCGAAGCATCCGGAGTGGTATCCTGAGTTGTCCTCCCACTCCTCGGACAAGCAGATTGCCAAAGCGCTGTACATGCCGGGGGCTGAGGGCTGAGTCACGAAAACTTGTGAGCAGGCACGAGTGTTGGTAAGTACTGCGTGAGCAGTTCAGGCACTCATGTTATCAGGACACAACATGGACAAAGACACCAATCACCAGAATCATGCATACAATGTCCGTGGTGTGACGTGGATAAATAAGACGATGACAGTGGTGATGATGAGAACGGTGGCGGTGTTGCTGATGGCGACTATCACTTTGTTGTTGCTGTTGGTGATGGTGGTGGTCATGCTGATGGTGACGGTGATGATGTTGAAGATGGAGAGTTGAAAGATGAAGAGGAAGAAGGTCATGATGTGGTTGTTGTAGCTGTTGCTTTTGTCGCGGCTCGTTTTGCTGTTATGGTCGCTGCGGTAATGGTGATGGTCTTGGTGGTTTGCTGATGCTCATTTGAGGTTGGTTATGGTTGGTTTCTGTTCGATACTACTGCAGTTGGTGATGATAATGCTGATAATGACGATGATGCTGGCGTTTCTCTTGCTGATGCAAGGCTACATTCGTTGGGCAAGCGGCAGAGAATAATCAAACCCAGACGACAACAAGAGCAAGACGTCAGACAGCCATGGACATGACATGCCGAATCCTGTCGGCTTGTGTTACCTCCCGAGCTGGCTCTTAGTCCGTGTTCGCTCTTTATCCGTGTTTGTCTATCGCAATATCGAAAAAGAGTGCTAGAGTTTAGAGGCAGCCCTGGGTAGTTCTCTAAGTTAGGGTCCTTTGTCGTGTCCTATTTATAAGGGTGCCGTACTTTATTGGGGGCCTAGAAAGGGGCCCTAATTTGGAGAACTATCCACATGTAGCGTCGTGGTTTGAGATACGAGCAGCCATGGCCCGCAGAAGATAGGGTCTGAAACGGAACAGCTGGGGAGCCCGATAAACAGAATTCAGCGAGCAGAGAAGGAGCACCGGGAAACCGCATCATTATCTACCTTAGCCTACCGAAACCTGCTTTTGTAGGCCCCTAAGTAGTTCCTTTTTGGGCTTACCTTCTTGGATTCTAACTATGAACCATAAAAAAGGAACTCCTTAGGGGCCTGTGGGTAGTTCCCTCCAAGGCATGGGATCGAGGGATGCCCCAGAGTCTGCGAGGACTGGGGTGCCTGGCGGAGTTAGGGTTTAGAAAATTAGGGATTTAGGTTTAAAAATTAGGGATTTGGGTTTAGAAATTAGGGATTTAGGTTTAGAAATTAGGGATTTAGGGTTTAGAAATTAGGGATTTAGGTTTAGAAATTAGGGATTTAGGGTTTAGAAATTAGGGATTTAGGTTTAGGAATTAGGGATTTAGGTTTAGAAATTAGGGATTTAGGTTTGCCGTTGGAGGCTGCTGTGAGTCCTTTGAGAGTTCAGGGGTCTCGTCAAAGGTTCCGCTTTAGAGGTTGCTGACGAGAAACTTTGGTTGAAGAAGCAAAGACGCAGAATGCCGTGATATTGTCAAACGAGTCTTACAGCAGGAGCCAACTGCAGACAACAGAAAGCATGTCACACCTGGCTATGGCGTGTGCTGGGGAGGTCGTCGGTGCAGGCGTTCGCCAGTAAGGGTAGTCGTGGTGATCGTCGCAGTGGTCGTCGGTTTTCAGCGCTGTATGATATGTCGCGCGTGTCAGGCCGTGCGGAGAGACATGCCATTTGCCTCGGTTGCTGTCTCCGCAATGCAGGATGACGAGGTGGAAGGTCATTTCGAGCCGTTCTACGAGGTGGGGGTGGTTGTGAGTATGCTGTCTCTGTGCGTTTTGGTGTGTTGTCATGCGTAATGGATTGTTCTCAAAGTATGACGCCATGCTGGCCAGGGTGTCCAAGTGGCGGAGTCCGAAAGCTGGATGAAGGGGGCACAACAGGCCGCAACGGAACCACCAACCACAGAGGCACCCACGATGCCGCCCACGCGGCCGCCAACGACGCAAGCGCCCATCACAACACCAGTGCCCACTCTGCCCCCGACCACACAGGCACCCACGCCTGCACCGACCACACAGGCACCGACGCCTCCACCGACCACACAGGCACCGACGCCTCCACCGACCACGACACCAGCACCAACCACGACAGCGGAGGTGACACAGGCACCCACGCCTGCTCCAACCACGACCACGGAGGCACCCGTCCCGACACCAGCACCAACAACCCAGGCACCCGCACCCGCGCCACTGCCCAGCCTGCCTTCTGTTCACCAGGGGCAGCGAGCTGAGCTTCATTGGGCAAATACTTTGGAGCAACTTTCGGCATGGGCTGATGACATGGTCTGCACCGAATCACCGAATTCGTGCTGGTGCTGCCTGAACTTGTCTAGGTACGTAGATGCAGATTTAATCCGGCTGCAGCGCAAATACTGCGGACAGTACCCGTTGCTACTCATACCGACGGTGAGCCCGAATTCAAGAGCCCCTAACCCTAGAGCAACCCCAAATAAATCCAGAGCCCTATAAGCATAAAGCTGCACAGAGCCCTTTGAAAATCCCTAAACCCTAAACCCTAAACTTTAAACCCTAAACCCTAAACCTTAAACCCAAAGCAGAGCCGCCTAAACCCCCGGGGGCAAAATCCGCAGACCCAGGTCGAAGAAGCCGGTGCCGCGGCCACCGATTTCGGTTTAGGGTTTAGGGTTTTTTAGGGGTTTAGGGGTTTAGGGTTTAGGGTTTTAGGGCTTTTAGGGGTTTAGGGTTTTGAGTTTTAAGGTTTAGGGTTTTAGGGTTTAGGGCTTTAGGGTTTTAGGGTTCAGGGTTTAGGGTTTAGGGTTTAGGGTCCGTCTGAAGCTCGGGATATACGTAGGCCCACAACGGGTTCAGGTCCAAGAGAGAGAGAGACTCAGAGAGAGAGAGAGAGATAAAGTAGGAATTCAGAGTTTACGGTTTTAGGGTTCCCAGCTGATGGGGGGGGAGTCTGGGTTCAAAAAGGGTCTTAGGGCAAACTTTAGGGTTTAGGGGTTTAGGGCCCCTAAACCCTAGACCCTAAGTTAAGGGTTTTAGGGCTTCGGGCTTGGACTTTCGGGAAGATGCTTGCAGGTCGTGGTCTGTGGCTACCCATAGGCCCCTAAGTAGTTCCTTTTTGTGGTTCATATTTAGAATCCTATAACGTAATCCCAAAAAGGAACTACTTAGGGGCCTATGGGTAGACCGGTAGCGAGAAAGCGGTCTTGCCTTAAGAGGGGGGTGAGGGTTGCATAGGGTTTAGGGGTTTAGGGTTTAGGGGTTTAGGGGTTTAGGGGTTTAGGGGTTTAGGGTAGAGTCCTGGATGCAAAAGGTTTAGGGTTTAGGGCCTCCGTGCTGACGGGTTTAGTTTCGGCTTGAGCAAAGCCAAGTATCCTTGAGCTTGCAAGTGCCATGCCAATTCGAGATCGACAAGGATACCGTGGCGGGTCCCTTGTCCCTAAGCCCTAAACTCCCTCAACCCTCTAACCTTACGGTCAGGCCGCAGAGCCAGAGCCCTATGATACGGAACTTCAATAGGTTTGTTCTGACTCTTTTCCAACCCAACATAGCCACCCAAGCACCCTTCCAAGCGCCCAGGTTGTTTACAGGAACAGTAGCAATAACTCCCTCACCCCAGAAGCCGCTCAAACCCAAACAGCACTTTTTCGCGCAGGAAGCCCGCAACTCAAGAAACCTCTTCGAAACCCTATAATAGAATTCGATAGAATTCGATAAAACATTTGTAGAAGCACCTGAAATCCAAAAACCCAAGACCCTGAAACCCTAAACCCTCAAACCGTGAATCCGTGCCTGCCCAGGGCGAGTGTGTGAGTCGAAACCCTAAGCCCTGAATCCCAAACCCGATAGAATCGCATAAACTGTAGAAGCCCCTGAGACCCAAGACCCTTGAGACCTTGAAGTCCTAAACCCAAAACCCTAAAAGCCCTAAACCCTAAACCCCAAAAACCCTAAAACCCAGACCCTAAACCCTAAAAGCCCTATGCCCTAAACCCCAAAGCCTAAACCCTAAAAGCCCTAAAGGCCCTGTACAAGCCCTAAAAGCCCCAAACTCCACCGAACCCCAAAAGCCCTAAAAGCCCCAAACTCCACCGAACCCTAAAAGCCCTAAACGCCCCAAACATCCCAGCGAACCTAGGAGTGCTTCCATGTCGGCTACAGCTACACGCTGCCTCGGCCCTCGGATCCGGGAAGGGCGCGGGCTTTTCTTCGGGTGCCCTTCGTGGGGTTTTTGGGTTTATAGGGTTTATAGGGTTTACAGGGGTTAATTATAGGGTTTATAGGGTTTATAGGGTTTATAGGGCTTATAGGGTTTATAGGGTTTATAGGGTTTAGGGTTTAGGGTTTTTTTTATGGTTTCATAAGGAACCTACAAGCGTTTTTTTTTTAATAGGAGGGTTCTACACGGGCTTCCCCAGGGTTGATAGCAGAAGGGTTTGTCAGGTTTAATTTGGGTTTAGAAAGGTTGTTTGGGGTTGTATGCGGGGTTTTAAAAGAGTTTTATAATGGTCTCACAGTGCACCACGCTCGGACACACCGACGGTCCGAGGACCAACAGCATGTAGGTTGGGAATGGTCGTTCGTATGTTACTTGTCACTTCTATCTGCCATGGGGTTGCTGGTTCCTGAGTTGTTCAGAGGATGCCGCGGTCGGCTCTGAAGAAGCCTCACTTAGGGTTCTTGGCTGAGCCCCATGCCATCAGGAAAACATGCAATCAAAGCTTCAAGCAGCGACAATGAACCATGTGCAGCGCGGATGTTTGTATGTGTATGTACGTGTTTATTCCTGTCGAGTGTATGTTTGTGCGTTTACGCCCTAAGCCCTAAACCCCAAAGCCCACGACCCCACGAGCCCGAAATTCCCACACGTTAAACCGCGAAGCCATAGGCTCGACTGCCTCAACCACGTCCCGAGCATGACTGACAGCAGAGAAGCCTGCAAGGCCAGCAAAGTTTTGCGACGATAGAGGTCTGAATACACAGTAATCCTAAACCCCTAAAGCCTAAACCCTAAACACTTAATAGTCTCCCCTTGGACTAGATGCAGGTTATGGGACTTTAATGCATCGTAGCTTTCGGGAGTCAGGATTCGGATCCTAAGCCCAACTCCAGACCCTAAAGCGCAGCTTCAGCGTTGGGGACGCAGGATATAGGCTATCGGGATTCGGGTTTAGGGTTTAGGGTTACCGGGTTGCAAGGCTCCATTGAACGATTTTTGACGTCGCGGTGCAGCTTTTCAGAGCTTTGGGTTTGAGACTTGGAGGTTCTGGGAAGCTTTAGGGTTTGGGGTGCAGGATTTAGGGTTTAGGGTGTATGGGTTTAGGGTTTAGGGTTTAGTTAGGGTGCAAGGTTTAGGGTGTAGGGTTTCGGGTTTAGGGTTGACGGTATTGCGCGGCTTTTGCCTTCTTGTTTGCCCTGCCTCCCTCCTTGCAAAAGCCGAGGTGCAAGACAAGACCCCACGACCGCCGCATACATTCAAATAGCAGCTTAAATCATTGCCAATACTATTTTTAGGGGGTTCCTTACTATAAGTATAGTATAGTGGGCCGCAAAATCCTATTCTAATTATTAAGGCCCCTAAAGTGCACGGAAACGATGCACAGATGCTCTTGCTACATGGTTGATTGTTAGTAGGTTTGCTTGCTTAGGTTTGGGCTGTGCTTTCTTACCATGCAAACACACTTCCATCCATCATGAGAAATAGAGTCGATAAAGCTTGCAGCCACCCCAAAACGAATACCCTTAACCCTACTATAAGGGTTGTAGGCTGAGCAAGGACAACTTCAGACAGATCCAAATATCGGTCTCAAGCAGCCTGAATGCTGCTGCAACATGAAGGAAGAGTGATAAGAAAGAGATCAGCCAGAAAAAAGTATGGAACAGATGCTAGAGAGCAGCAACTATTCAGATTCAAAGACTATGGTTCAAACTTTGCAAACAACCTACACACGAAACCTTGCCGGGCTTGTCCGAGTGCGAGCGTCACAGCCCTAAACCCTAAACCCAAAAGTGCAGGCGCATTGTGCCGGCTTCAAGGAAGCATCTTACTTCGTGTTCCATGCCGCTTCGGCCCGCTTTCTCTAGGAAGGGGAAGCTCTTTCAGGTTCGTAGGCTTCAGGGTCCATATAGTTTTGCACTGTTTGGGTTCCGATCTCCGACCCCATTGAGACCTGGCTTTAGGGTTCAGGGTTTCTGATTGATGCCTGCCTGAACGGGTCGGGATAAGCAGAGAAAAAATAACTTGCAGCACGCTCGGGAACAGACTTGCATCGAGCTTTGGGTGACTCCCTTCTGCCGGCATGGTTGCGAGTTGAGAGGTCCCTAGGGCTTAGGGTTTAGGGGTTTAGGGTTTAGGGCCCACACAATTTCGGCAGAGAGCCTATGCCAGTATTGACCGCAGCGTTAACCACCCCCCCAACATCTTGTAAACACCAGTGACGCGCCCAGCAAAACGAAACGGCAGGTGCCTTTGTCGCTCTGCCACTGCCCGCCGGCCAGTGCTTCACCGATTGAGGACGTGCATACCCCTAAAACCCTAGACGCTAGATCCCTAAACCCTAAGCCCTAAACCGATCAGCTCGAATCATATGCTGAGATTTTTCAGGCTTGTAGGGCTTCGGGCTTGGAGCTGCAGGCAGGTTCTGATAAAGTTCTTCTGGTAGTTTTGGGGTTTGTCCCTGAACACCCATGGCCCTTTCCTTTTTTTGCGTGGCCATTGGGAGAGAAGCAAGGTAGGGGCTTGCCTGCTCCCCGCAGGACATGGGTCCAGACTACATCGGGGGCAGCATGACCTGTGACGCTGCCAGCTATATGAAGAGGTGCCCAAAGGGTTTGGGAAGACATTCGGAAGCTGCACTGCCTTCAAAGTTTTGGACTTAAAGCCACCAAACCGCCCAAACCGAAAAATCCTCAACTTTTCTCAGAGAGGGGCCTTTGATGCGCAGGAACGATGCAGACGTCCCTGTCTTTGGGACCGTGCCGAAATTCGCCAGCGTCCGCTTCTTAGTAATACAGCAGTGAAGATTTGGCAAGATTTTTACATTACCTTTTTTGGTTCCTCAGTATGAGTATACTAACACTATGCCCCCCCAAAAGCCAATTTAGGGCTAAGGGTTTATTTTCTCGGCTTATGTACTTGAGCCCAGTAGCGAAACAGAGTTTGTTTAGGTTATTACATGATTGCATGTTATGACATATGTTAAATTATGATGTGATTACATATTACTATATATAGTTATATAAGTTATATATCATGATATATTAGGGCTTCTATATTTGGGGTTCGCCTCCGACGGTCCCGAAAATCGGAAGCGCCTCTCATTTCGAGGCTGCCAACTCCCTGAACTCGAAGCCACGAACCCTAAACCCTGAACTCTAGGACATTTTCAGGTGGGTAGTTACCGTTCTAGGAGCCTTATAGAAGGTCTATATACCTCGTAGAAGCCTTATATAAGCCCTATATAAACTATACACCCTAAACTCCCCACCTGTAGTTTCCTTTAATGAACGCTGAACTCGTAACCCTTTAGGATTCCCTTCGCGGTTCATCCGATCAAAACTGGAACGACACAGAGAAGATTAGCATGGCCCCTGCCTGTACACATCGAGAAGTGTACCACGTTTTATGAGCGCCGAAACCCCTAAACCTGACACCTTTAACCCTAAACCTTAAACCCTAAACCCTTAAACCCTTAAGCCCTAAGCCCTACAACCCTAAACCTGAAAACCCTAAGCCCCCAAACCCGGAGCTTCCTCCTTTTCTCCTCTTTTGGCCACAGCCTGTGTTTCTCAGGCCATGAGCAACCGCATCTTGGTCCTGCGGCCACATCTTGCTAGAGCTGGAGCGAGCCCTTAGTCAAGAGTCGAAACCCTAAACGGTTGAGGGTTTTGGGTGTAGGGAGTTAAGGGTGTAGGGTTTAGGGTGTAGGGTTTGCGATTTACGGTTCAAGGTTTATTTACGGTGGGGTGCTAGCATCCATCAAGTCCAAGTGGAAAAGGGTTTAGGAATTATTCATAGCGGCCTTAAGAATTTCCAATACTATTTTGAGATTCCTTATTATAGATAAATATGTATATTCCCCCAAACCCTATTCTAATTATTAAGGCCCCTATATTAGGGCAGTTCCGAGTGTATAAAGCCCTAAACCCGCACCCCTAAACCCTAAATCCTAAACCCTAAACCTGATGGCCTAAAGCCCAGAAAGCCCTGCAAGCTCGACTTCTCTCTGCACTGGCTTGGGGCGTGGGGTTTTCGGGGAATTAGGGTTTAGGGGTTTAGGGTTTAGGGTTTGGGGTTTTAGGGTTTTAGGGTTCAGGGGTGGGTCAAGCTGGGCAGTAAGGGCAGCAGTCGAGTCCCTTGTGAAAAAAGGGGTTTAGGGTTTAGGGATTAGGGGCTTAGGGGTTTGGGGGTTAAGGGGTTTAGGGTTCAGGGATTGGGGGTTTAGGGGTTTAAGGGTTTAGGGTTTTAGGGTTTAGGGGTATTAGGGTTTTGGGGTGCCTCACTACGGGTTACTACAAACCAAGAGTTGAGGGCTTGGGGTCGGTGAGGTCTTCGGGTTTCGGACGCGGGCTCAGCGTTTTAAAAGATCGAAGGCTCCCGATCGACTTGCGAGTCCTAGACTAATCCCGGGTTCCTTTACTGGGGTTGGGGGTAATGATAGTACCCTAAACCCTAAGCCCTAAACCCTAAACCCTAAACCCTAAGCCCTGCACCTTATATCTATCATTGCAAGAAGGAGCTCGACAGCTCTACGGAATATTCCTACAAACCCTAAACCCTAAACCCAACACCCAACACCCTACAGACTTCCTCCAGGCTTCTACCTTCTTTGAACCAGGTCCGAAGGGCCCGTGGACGACTCTGAGCCCCCCCCGAACCCCGAAGGCTAGCTTTACCAAACTCGTAAACAACCTACTCAAATGAAACTGTGGCTATATATGGTAAAAAATTGTTGATGATAGCCATGCTATCAGAAAAATGGTACTAACAATAATAATAATAATACTAATACTAATAATAATACTAATAATAATAATACTAGTAATGTTTCAGCAAACATCGAGGACTTAGGGTTTCGGCTTCAGGTCTTTTTGCCCTGCTCCCACCTTTTCATCCGAAGCCCTGGACCCCTTGAGCTCCCCTGAGCCCATAAACTGCCCTCCACCGTTTGGGGTCATAGTGTTTAGGGCCGTTTAGGGTTTAGGGTTACAGTGTTTGGGGCCTTTAAGGCAAAAGGGTTTAGGGTTATAGTGTGAACACCACCGAACCCTTCTGCCCTCCATTCGGCGTTTGAAAGCTCAACGAGAGCCAGGGGCGAGGTATCCCAGTTTGGGGCGTGGTGCATAAACCCGAAACCCTAAACCGTATAGCCGCACTGCTCCCACAAATAATGCATCCCAAACCATAGGTCTGCCTAATATAAGGGCCTTAATGATAAGACTAAGGTTTTGGGGTATATTCTAGTATAGTCATAACAATGGACCCTAAAAAATAATGTGCATTATAGCTAAATATTTAGGCTTCTGCAGGCATACCCTTAAACCCTAAACCTACAAAGTGTAGTACTTCGGCGGCCTTAGGTGCTTCGGAGGCGTAGGGGCAGGGGTCTCACTTCGGTTCCATGAGTCGGTGGTTTGGGGTTTAGGGCTTTGGGTTTTGGGGTCTTTGATACTCAGGCTTGAAAGATGCATGCCACGTTTTGTAGGGTTCTAGGATTAACAGGTTTTGCGGGTTTGGGTTTTTGGGGTTCCGGTGCGAGGCTTCAGGCGTCTAGATTTTCAAGGTTTGGTTCAAGATGGTGAGGTGTTCAGATACAAGGCAGGCTGGATGCAAAAAGTGCTTCTAGCACAATGCCAGGTGATCGCAGCTGCAGCGGCTGCGGTGGCAATGGCCATGGTCTTGATCTCAGACTATCATGCCTACACCCTAAACCCTATACCCTAAACCCTAAACCCTTAACCCTAAACCCTAAACCCTACACCCGGAATCCTAAACCCTATACCCTTAACCCTAAACCCTAAACCCTACACCCTCATCTTAAGCCCTAAGCCCAACCTCACCTGTCATCGCTCGATCCCAGGCCTTACGCTCAATCCACAGATGGCCCGAAAAGCTGTAAGAGTCGCAACCCTAAGACAAAGGGGCTGCGGATGGAATCCATTGCCTTCTGCGATTGGGGCTGAGGATCCGGGTCGAGGGCTTGGGCTGCAGGGCTCAGAGGGTGTAGGGCTTAGAGGCTTAGAGCTTGGAGGTAAGGTTCGGAGATTAGGGCTGAACCGCAGTTGAGGACGCTACCCTCCTCCGCCAAGCCAAACATCGTCACGATCATGTCCACCACCAGCAGCATCAGCTTCAGTATTAGCATTATCATCGTCATCACCAGTATTAAAGACATCATCATCATCATCACCATCATCAGTATTAGCATCGTCGTCGTCATCACCAGTACCAACGACATCATCATCATCATCACGCCATCACCATCAGTACTGACCATGATGACCATAATTAGCCACCACCACCATCACCACCACCACCGCCACCACCGCCGCCGCCGCCGCCGCCGCCGCCGCCGCCACCCCCACCACCACCACCACCACCACTTTTTTAATCGTCTCGTAGTTGCCGACTTGTTACCCCACAAAGGTGTCATAGTCGTTCCAGGTGGGTGACGAAAGACGACTTTGCTCGTTCTCAGTTGCACTCTCGCCACCACCGGTCACAAGCCGCTGCATCAATCTGATGTTTGACAAGCAGCCCTGGTGGTTTCCACTGTCGTCGTTGTTGTTGCATCCAGAAATAGCGAAGATCCAAGATTTTCAAACTTGGAACGGTTTAAGTTAGCCAAACTTTGGCAGTCCCAAATTCCCATAAACCTTAATACAGCCCCACAGTCTTGCGGCTCGTATCCACATTTGTACCTTGTTTTCACCGTCAAGCACGGCATACAGGTTGCGAGTAGATCTAGCGAATCTAGCGACTTGGCGTGCTAGTGTCTTGATGTTTTCAATCTAGCTGTGTTAGTTAGTCTATAGAACATCTGCAGCCTATTTCTTGTTTCAGTTCCGCGCCGTGGGCTAGAATGTGCGATGAAGCTGGTAGGAGAGCGCCAGGGGTGTGTGATGTGTTGAGCATAGCCTTGTGATAACTTTGAACCCAACCACGGGACTTCGACGCACATGTCCGATCGTGAGACGCAAAACCCGACCCCCCCAAACGCTACACCATCCTACTTGGGGTTTGGCGCAGCTGCAAAAGGGTAGGGTTCCTAAAACCCTTACTGTAACCCTGCCTGAACCCCCACTAATTATCCCTGAAGTGGGTGAGGGCGCCATTCGCCTCGGGACGCGGCTGACGTGCGACGCCCCACAGGAGGAATCGGTGAGGCCGCTGCTTTTAAAATATGTCTTTACGAGGTGGAGGTTGGGATGGTGTTCAGGGCTTGCTTGGGGTCTAGAGAAGAATACCCTAAACCCTAAACCCTTGTCCTTGCTAAGTAGGAGGGAAAAAACCACATAAGCTTTGGAGATTCGGCACGTAGCCGGCACATAAGAGAGCTCCAGACTCGAACACCGAGGGTCCAGGGTTTTCGGGGCGAAGGAAGGCTTCGGAAAGGGGGGTTTTAACAGGCCTAGCGCCCATCTCAACCCTGAGACCCCAAAGCCCTAAACCCTGCCCCCCCCTAAAGCCATAAACCCTAAACCCCTAAACGCTAAACCCCCCAAACGGTCTCGGATTCATGAGGGTGTTGGGTTTGAGGCTTGCCGGGTGCTGAGCCCCAGGAAATGTTCGAAGAGTCAAGGTAATCGTTCCCGAGTCCAAGCCTCGCGCTTTTGAGCCCCCAAAGATAGACGCACGAAGCCTCAGGGTCCCGATGCCCCACGTGCTGCAACCCTAAACCCGAAACCCGAACAGACACAAAAAGGCCCACAAGAACTCCTATACCCTAAAAGACCAAACGCTCCGGCGAAGGTTGTTGGGCCGCACCGCCGGGGAGTTGCAAGCTTTGGAAGCTTAGCTTCAGGCCCTGGTGGGAAGGTACTTCTTGAGTTTTTGTAAAAACGTTAGGGGCTTTACGGTTTAGGGTTAAGGGAGGTTTAGCGTTTGGGGTTCAGGGTGTGAGAGTTTAGGAGTTTAGGATTCGACAGTTTAGGGATTAGGGTTGGAGAGTTTAGGAGTTTAGGGTTTGACCGTTTAAAGGGTTTAAGTTCAGGTTGGTTTAGGCTTTAGGGTTTGACGGCTTGCCGGCATACAATCAAAGCCCGTGCTGAAAAAAGGGTTTGACGGTTTAGGGTCTAGGGTCTTGCAAGGGTTCATAGGGTTTAGGGCTGGGCAGTTTAGGGTTTAGGTTTCAGGGGTTGCCTTTTGGAGGTAACGACGAATCGCGTTTGGATATCGGCTCCATGCAATCCAACATTCTTGAATCCCTAAACCCTAAACTCTAAACCCCCAACAAATAAACCCTAAACCCTATCGTGAACATGCATATCACGCCGATGGGGGCTTTTTGGAAGGGCCCTGGGCTTGCAAAATTGATTGGGATTTAGGGCTTAGGGTTTGTAGGGCTTAGGGGTTTAGGGGTTTAGGGTTTAGGGGGTTTAGGGGGTTTAGGGGGTTTAGGATTTAGGGTGCCTTTGACTAATGCGAACCTCTTGTGGTTTCTTGTCGTTGATGTTCTGTTTGCCGAGTTTTTCCCAGAGGCAGGGAGCGGTGTCTCGCAGCCTCGTGCCGTTCTTTGCATGAGCTCTAGTCTTGAAGGAGCTTCGAGGCTTTTTACGTGCAACTGACGAGCGTCAACTTGAACTATCAATACACTCCTAAATTCCTTACAACCAAACGGACCTCAATGGGTAAAAGGAAAAGCATTCAAACCCTTGTAACACGGCTGAGCCTTGAATCCCGCGTATGCAGGGCCAATGTAGAGCTTGAACTCTGCGCCATGGAATTGGGCATGGTGCATCGGGGTTTTAGATTTGGGGGTTCGGGGTCTAGGGTGTACTGGTGTGCATGTACAAGACTGTGCAACAGAGGGCGTGCTGGGGTTACTGTTGACCATGTCTCCTCTCCCAATGTTTCAAGCTTAGGGTTTGCCGGCTTGTTTTCCGCAGCGGAAGGGCCAAAGCGATTTATGAGTTACACGCAACAGGTAGTCAAGAGGGGACACCGCTTCATCACCTTTTTAGACCCAACATACCGTAATCCCCAAACCCGAAACCGTATGATAAGAAAGCTATGAGGACCACAAAAGACCCGAAAAGTTCCTTTCGCAGGAAGAGGCCCAGCATCTTTCGGGAGAGCCTGGCCTTTGTTGAGGGCCGCTCTTTACACCATGTCCTCAGCGACTCCCAACCCCTAAACCCTAACCCCTAAACCCTAAACCCGAAACACTTAACCCTAAACCCTAAAACCTAAACCCTAAAACCCCAAAAACCCTAAAACCCTAAACCCTAAGCCAGAGACTCCCATGCCCTTGGCCGAGAGGATGGTTGTTAGAGCGTATGCTTCTTGAAGGTCCCCATAGCGTATGGCATGGTTCAGACCCTTTTGGTATACTAGAGGGTTTTGGGGCCTTAGCACTTACCTATACTATTTTGGAAGTTCCTTATTATAGCTACAGTATAATAACCCCAAAACCCTCTTCAAGCTATTTTGGCCCCTACTATTTCCCTGGTCATTTGCTTCTGAGTCTCTGGGTTACCCTAAACCCTAAGCGCGGACCATCAGCCATGCCAGCCTTGTGCGAGTGTGTGAGTCGAAACCCCAAACCCCTAAACCCTGAACCCTATGCTTCGCCGACCTTGAAAGATCAGCGCTTGATGTAGACCCCTGGTGAAGTGTTCATTGAAGGTTTCGGGTTAGGGGTCTAGGGTAGACCAGTTGGAGAGGGTTTCAGGTTTAGTAGCCCTAAACCCTAAGACCCTAAACCCTAACCCTAAACCCTAAACCCTAAACCTTAAAAACCCCGAACCCTTCTTGAGGGCAAGGCAGCACAAGATTGACCGAGCTCTGGGTTTCCGAGGAACGTCTCTTCGCACCATTAGGGTTTACCCATAAGCTCCAGGGTTTAGGGTTTTGGGGTTTAGGATTTAGGGTTTTAGGGTTTGGGGTTTAAGGGATTTAGGGTCTACCCATAGGCTCCTAAGTAGTTCCTTTTCGTGGTTTATATCTAGAATCCTA